CTTAAGTCACGTGTCTTGTGACACTCGTTGAGTTTTAAGTGTGAGCGACTTTACTCCTAATCTTCTTAATCCCCTAGATGTAATTGGATTAAAACCTAAGCCTTTTTCAATTACTTAAGTTACTAGGAAAATTAAATTACGAAAACGGCGAATAAATTTCACAGACTCTAATTAATAAAAATTACTACAGTCTTTGTAGGGCCGAAAGACTAACGCACGCGAATAGGATTTTACAATTAGTTATATTCGGTGAGAAAAAGAGAGAGAAAAGATTCGAATTATACCGCGAATAACGCTCGACGCGAATACAAAAAATAACGCTATCACGAATATACAAAATACCGAATGTATTTTGTATCGCTTAATATGACGGAAGGTGCACCTACCATGCGGTGCAATTACGGTGATCAGCCGTAATTGTTGTTGCAAAAAATATCAACTGCCGCTGCCCCTTGATTATCAGCTGCGCTGCCTTGTACTGCCTCCAATTAGCTACAGACTGCTGCTTCTGCACTGCTACTTGTTACCTCGAAAATACCGTTGCACTCACGCACGAAATTGTCCCAGAAAACTAATTGTTCGGCGAAAACAAAGTGCAATACAAATCGGCGGTAAATTCACGTTCACAGCTGAGGCGTAACTAACTATTCAAAAGATCGCGCGCCCCCTCTCTCTCTTAACTATTAGAACTAACGCGCGAGAAGTAGAATCGCAAACGGTTCGATTAATTAACTCGACTACCGTTGCAATTTGTAATTTTCTTGAAAATCTGATTTTTTCGCAGTTTATAATTTTTTACAAATATAAAAGTAAGTTCGATCTTATAAGGGTGGTTTTAAATTTTAGATAGGGTAAATTTCAGATCTATTGCATGAATGTTAGTCTTCGATTTTAATTTAGGTTACCTTTTCCTGAAATTTTCGTCAAATACCTATTTCGCGTGTTTAATATTATTTTCACCTCCTTGAGAGGGTATTTTTGAGCCGTAAAACAGTTTTTTGAGGGTGTCACGATTTTTTTTTATACCAGAATCGCTTAAAATGAAATAGGAGTATACTAGTCTGGATCGCTGGTTTTGACTTTTTCTTGTGGGGCTGTGTTATTTGTATCTAATAGAGTTTTCTATTTCTATATTACTATATACACAAACAATATATATGTTCAATTATTACGTAATAGTAAGAAAAGGAGAAATTTTATTAATAATCTCACCTGGAGATGAAGATTAAACGCTAATTACATAAAATTGTTATCTGAAGGCTCGCAGAGCCTGTACAAAGCACGTATATTTGAGTGGCGTTCGCTTACCAGATCATTGCCCATACACAGATAGCCAGGCAGTGCCACACACACACACACACACACACACACACTTTGGTGCACCGCAGTGCCAACGTCTCGGGCACACAATACTGCGATGACCTGTGATGCCGATCTGATGGGCTTGAAGAGTTGTGGCAGCACCTAGAGTCGTGAAGACGTCCTCTGCTAACGTAGTTAGTTCTTTAGTCGGTTCACCGGCAATCGCGAAAACGCCTAGCGCAACTTCTCACACTGCACTCGTGTATACACAAACATACACACTTCAATTGCTGTTTTTATTCAATGCCACTAAATCGCTAAACGCGGTATCATACACGGCTCACGACTATGCGAGATAGAGAGAGAAGTGTCACTGCTAGTTTCCCTGAAGGAACTGACTGTCATCGCCTATTTTTCTTTACAAGAAAATTTTTCCCCACTCCTAAGGCCCTTGCCAAAACTCATTACAGGACCCCCCTTTGCGAGGACTAAAATGGCCCCGTGGTCCGGGTTGATTACCTGCGCTCGTCCAACACGTGTCTTCCTTATCTCATGGCATCGATGATACGTGTGTCCCATACTTTTCGGGTATCTCAGGGCTGGGATCAAACATGAGACGCAAAAATGTGCAGCGATAGTTAAACGCAAACACAAACAGATGTAGCAAAGACGGTCCGAGCATGCACCGTAATTTAAGAACCTATTACCGCACAACTATCTCTCTCTCTCTCTCTTTCTCTCTCTCTCTCTTTCTCTCTCATAGTAAAGAAAATTTTCGAAGCGCAAACGGCGCGAACAATATACAAAAACAATTTTTGTAACCAAACCAATGACAACATAAAATCTATTGATATATATCATCTAAAAGTTCTTTAATGCTGAATCTTTATGAAAGACTACCAAAGCAATTAGTGCATTTCTTTGATATTATTTTATATTCTTGATTCACTATTTAATGAATCTATTCAACGCATTTTTCTTGAAGTTTGAATATTCAATTTTGATATTAGATCGAATTCCAATTTTGAACAAAAAATAAATAAATAACGATACAGAATGTAAAAGCACTGTATTTAGTCATTAACAATTTATTATAATAGAACCTCGGAATTCCGAATAGCAACCCATAAGAGAGTTACGAATTATCAATTTTTTTTGTTAACGAGGTTGAATGAAAGTTCTAATTACCAGGTTTTCAATTTAATTATATTAATATATTACACAGTTCTAATCAATATTAAATGTTCAATCTAAAATATACATGTAAGATATATATTGCAATTAAGTTTGCTTTATGTAGAAAAGTAGTCTCTATTTTTCACTACTTTTTATTTTTATAAAAGTTTACTTTTGAACCTATTAATGATGAATTCTGCTGATAATAAAAAAACTCATGTCATTAAACATACGTATCTAGAAATGAACATAAATTCATTGCCTTTTAAGGTACTTCGATTTACTTTTCTTTACTTCATGATTCGAAACATCTTTTTATAGCGTTCCTAATCACGTATATATATGAAATTTTGAATATTGTGGCAACATTAATTTTTTAACCGTCGAATTTTTTTCAACCTAATAATCAATTTTTTTTGTTATACTCAAATACGAGACACGGTAAACCCATGTGTTTAAATTTAAACGTTTAATATACCGTCACCCATAAGAAATACATTGTCCTCAATTTTAAACACTTCTAAACGTTTAAATTCAGCGACAATGTATTTCTTATGTGTGACGTCACAATTACACACTTAAAACATTTAAATTTAAACACATAGGATTTTAAGGTTTTGCCGTAAGACGTTGTTAGACAAATATATATTGCATAGTTTATATCAACAATTGTTGAAATATGCAATTCCTCTCGAACGTCATCATAATTTAGAACCCGAAAAGTTTCTATAAATTAATATAATCCTATCTAAAAAAAGTGATGAATCGCTGAAATCCAGCATTGTGATTGATTGACACTGAAAAGTGGAAACGAAATTTAGAATTTTCGTATACTTTGGATTATTTTTATTATACATCCGGAAGTTTGAGACTTATATGTCAGCTGTAAATTCAAGTTCTCAATAATTAATATGGATAATAACCTGCAATAATCTAAATATGCCATTAATAAATCGTTTCAAAAACAAAATACGTTACGTTCTAAAATTATCAGTAATCATCGTTAATTTCATAACAATCTGTGATACGGAAATTAATATTGTCGTGTTAAAATTTGATGTAAAGAGAAAAAACTGTATAGAATAAAATAGAGAAAAATACATTTTTCTCTATTTCAAATAAGAAGTATGCGAACAACGGAAACTGTCAAAATATCAGACCCATTAAATTGGAAGAATATTTACGGGGGTTTTCAACGAGGCAGCAAAAATCACGCGATGTTAAATGTATTGTTCATAATACATTTAATATAAGATTGGAGCCATAGTCACTACTAATAAGTATGTAAAGTTTAGTGATGCATAAAAGTATAACAGATTTATCGATCATAGATTGAATGAATCTTTTGGATAATTTTTCAAAAATACCATGACATGAGTAAAAGCTCATCGGTTTTGGTAAAAAAATGGGTACAAATTCTATTTTTTTTCATCAATGAATATTAATTTATGTAGTATATTTTAAGCAGATTAACTTATCTTGTGCCCATTAAAATCTCCAAGTTGACATGTAAAAGGTTCAATTAGTGTAATAATAAATAGAAAAATATAAAGAAAAGAGCACGCGAAGTACACTAAATAACACTAGTATACCTAAAAATCGAATGATACTTAGGAAAAGAGGGTTCAAATTATTGAAGAACCACTGTATCTTACAATGCTTTTAGATATTTTAGATATTTCATGTAACTGAAGCGTTTTTATTCAAGTCTTCAGCTATTTAGCTGCTGTGTGAACAACAAAATCAATGATAAAACTATCTATACGTGCGCGTCAGCGCGCGCATACATAGATATGTTCACGTTTACAACTTCCACTTCAATGTATAGAAATATTCTAATTTAGTTATTTGAAAAACATAAGAATTTATTCGAATTTTTGTACTGACAGTTTATATTGATGATTTATTTTTTATTTAAAAAAATTATTTGAGAATCATAAGATAGAAAATTTTTGGCATCAATTATCGTCTATCATAATCTTAGAAGTTAATTTTGTAGAAAAATCTTAAGAACCATTTGAAGAACGAGAAATTAAACTCGAATTACGGTAGTAAAAAAGCCTGGCAACGATTATTACAGAATATAAAGAGTATTGGAAGAAACACTACTGAACGAACAAACTTTTTAAGAAAGATGTCCTCAAGCTTACGTTGCATAAATTGTAGTAGATATACAAATTGCAACAGTATCAATCGTGATTAAATCGAAGTATGTACATGAATGCATACTGCTAATAATGGTAAAATACATGCAATAAAATCAGCAATAGAGGTCGTGCAGACAGCGAGGAAGGGGTGGTTTGAACGTTTGAGGTGGATGGAGTGCAGGTGAACTATCGACCTGGTGCCAGAAATACCGTGTAGCATCGACCGCGTACCTGGTCCCTCCACCCTCCGTCTCCTCTTCTTCGCTCCCCCTTTGTATACGAACTCCCCTCTCTCTTTCCTTCTCCCTCTCCTTGCCACTTGCGCACTCACTGTCTTTCGGCATCGATGGGCTTGGAAAACTACTCTCCCACCTGGCACCGCTCTGGGGGATCCTGGGAATTGCATACGAATGTACGTGACTGGGGGTGGTAGAGGGGACGCTGCTGCTGCCCTCTCGCTCGAAAGCAACCCCTTAGGTGGGGAAGTTTCCTGGGTGGTGGCGGGGAGGACTCCGAGGGCAGATGCTTTAAAGCAACTCCCAAGGTGAGACATATCCAGCCTGAGTGAGACGCCCCTGCTTATCGGGAGCCCTTCGATCTAAGTAAGTATATTGCATTTTTATACGTCACGGTACCTTTACCTGGTATTAAGTTTTTCTTTTCTAGTGATGTTTCATTCGTTCTGAATGAGTTTAGTAAGTCTGATTATTGTTATTCTCATCCTTTACCTAGTTACTAATTTCCCTATATATTGTACTTTCAAAGCTGCTACCATATCACTTCGAATCTTTTTGCTATAGTTTTTCTGTTCGGTAAAATATTATACTATATACTTTGAGGATAAAAGGACATATACGCTAGGACAGCAAGTTAGGGTTTTCGCGTATGGGATTTCAATGCTTGCGAGTGCGCGCTTTTCCTGAATTCAACACGCGAAACGAGGACAGGCAAGCCCGCATTTCGATCGATTCTACCGCTTAATATCTCCACTAAGTCAAGTCTAACATATTTATTGTTTATTATTTTTTATCACGTGTAGAAAAAAACCGTTATGGTTATTCATATCTTGGTAAATCTTTAATTTGTATCTATTACTGTTGCAAAGTGGCTACTACAGTCTTCCTTCCCACTTATCGATCGCTCGATTTTATGCATACAAAATTTAGTAACTCACTTATTGGATGATTTTTCAATCATGTTAATCAAATTTTATATCTAATAGTTATATAATTTTGGAGCGTTATACGCTTTTGTCTTTTTTACTTTGAAAAAGAACAACTACATAATAAAAAAAGAGGAATAGAAATAAAAGAATATAATAAAGTACCGTTAGCTAATTTTTATTACTGCTTTTCATGATCGGAATAAGATAACAAAGTTTTGGATAATTATTGCATTATTATATTATTATTATTATTGCATTATTATATGCTGTACACTACCTCCATTGTATTTATTTTCATTCAATTAATGCAATTAATTTCAAGTAACTATTTTAGTCATTATCTTACAGTCGAAGATGTGCACAAAACTAGAAATGTTAACCCCAAACAATATTTATAGAAGGGCAAGTTATTTATATGCCTGCTAGTATATATGGCTATTTTGATAGTACAGAGTATAAAGACGGATCGACATTCTTTTTATCTTGTTTCTTTAGACAAGGTCGTTCTACTTTATTAACTTAATAATGAAGATAATAAAAATGTTCAGTATCCTCGTTTCAGTTATACTTTTTTCGTGTCCTCTAAACTTTGTACATAGTTGAAAAACAATTTTTCCTTATTCGTTAAAATCTTCGTTTTTTTTTTTTTTGATATGTTAGATTTTTGACTAGTACCTCTGTAGTTAAGTTTGCGTAATCAATTTAGATAAAAAGATTTTTTAATTGCTAAATAAAAGATTCTGTAGTCAGTTGCATCTAATCTGAATCAACAAATTTAAATACTGACTTTCTGGGTAAAAGTAACCTTTCTTCCGATAATTTCAATACTTTTGAATTATTGATGAAAATTAGAGAAAAAAAAGCCGTTTGATTTTAAAATAAATCTTATATCGTTCAGTTTTCTTTCAGTTGGAACATGTTTTAGGCTTGAGGTGGCTCCAGCTCTTTAATAGTTTCACCTCATGACACTATATAACTAGTCGTATTATTATAACTACATATAACTCTAGTATATCATAACTAACCGTTCTATTATTGTTATAGAATTTTATTACAAAATATTCTATTTTCCAGGTCAAATTCTTATCTTCCGTTAAAACTTGACATTTCAATAAATGATTAGAAATATCTAATACCCGTAAACGTGTACCGTTGCATAAACCTTCACAAATACTTATATTTCTAATAAACATTACAATACAGTTTTTCCTTAAATCTAATTAATACGAAGGTAAACAGGAAGGATTCAGACGAAAGATTACATAAAATTTTTTTGTGATAAAGTTTTAAATGTTGTTATGAATTATTTTAATTTTTAAGTAAAACTGAAGATTGCGATAATTTAAAAATTTATCAATTAGTGACTACAGTGCATTCCGAATGTGGTTCAGATATTTATGCATTTTTCACTCATAAATGAGTGAAAATATCTAATTTGAAATAGTTAACTGATGACAAATCGAAATACAATTATATATTATGTTTATCAATGATTACAACAAAGAAATAATCAGTTTTAGAACTTACACTTAGAGAAAATATCTTCATGAAGTAGAATTCTATAAAGTTTATAAATATCAAAAATGAAGTTTTTTCCTACTAATTATCAGAATACTCCAACGTTATCGTCGCAATGTTCTCTTGCTTAAATTTTTCTTACTCTGGGTTTGCTTTATTCAAGACAATCTCATAAGATGCGATTATAATTTTTCTATGCTCCCTCTAATTTAAATTTAATTTACTTATTGCTTAGTTATAGACAAATTGTGACAATTTTTAAGAACTTAAAATTTTTTTTAAACAAAATAATTGCATACTTTACTTGAAAGCAAAAATCAAAATTTTAAAACAGGAAAAGTACAGAGAAATTAATATAAATACAATTTTGTAGGTCCTTTATTTTATAAGAGTAGTTAATAATTTTTGATTTATTATATCAAGATCAATATTGATTTCAGAAAAATTTGTTAATTATAGTAGTCAATTCTAATGACTGCTGTAAATTTCTAAATAAAATAAATTGTAATGACAATACTATTAATCTATTGAGTAATTCATTTAAACTGCTACAGTTTCAGCCGCTATAAGATTAATTACATAGATTATCTTTGGTACTTTTCAGGCTAAAATTCAGATATAAACAAATTTGAAATTCATGCAATTAAATTGAATAAATAATAAAAAAGAAAAATTTCGCACTACAATTTATTGAACAAACTCACCGAAAAGGAAGGAGCGTGAAAACAATTAAAGTTCTAAACTAATAGATCAAGCGGGAGTTGTTTCAATGAATATAATTCAATAACGCAACTCTTATATAAAAAAATAATTATCAATGAAAAATTTATGACAATCTTTTAAATTTTCTATTGCCTATTGATACTACACTTATGAGCATGTATATATAACATTTTCGAAAAATATCTTCTATATCTAATTAAATGTTCAACTAACGCTGATTTTGTATTATTATTAATGCAAGCCCTATTTTGTTCATAAATAATTTTTTTAAAGATCTCGACGTTTGGCCGTTTTACATTATTTTATAAATTAAAATTATTTTTTATGTATTCAGTAATATTTAGTTTCCGGTTTCAATCATTTCAAGATCATTACAGGCGAAATGAAATAATCTAAAATCTAAATACATAAGACAATTTTATCCTTGGAAACATCTAAAATACGTTGATATTAAATAGTAAATAAAAATCCAATATCGTTGATACGCTAATTTAATAATTATTTTTAATGTAATTACGTAACAGATTTTTAGGTATTTTTTAACTATAGAGGTAATGAGCAGCGCACGAAGTTATTTTTTTTCTGATAAATAGAACCGCCAACATATAATTTAAATTTCTTAATTTTTTAAAATATTTCTCTATAATTTCAAGTATTTAGAAGGATATCTCCGTTATTTTAACTAATTTTAACCTGTTCATCGGAGACCATTTGGAGAGTTCGTTAACATTTATAAAATAAATTTCAAAAATAAATTTAAATTGACGGTATCGAATGCACCAAAATCAATTTTTGATTTATAATTCATTCTTTTTATTTTCGATGATGTTTATTCAAAGCCAAACTTTACAATAAAGATATTCATCAATTTCTATCCTATAAATAAATGTAATTGAAGTGCATAAAGATTATTTTATCATATCATTTTTAAGTTAGGCCGTGAAATGAATGTATATATTATTATTGTCTTAATGCGTACGAAGTGTTTTACTTATTTGTTAATCAGCCAATTAATTAAAATAATACCAATCTAATATAACTCGAGATATTTATTAAAACAAATTTGTTGAATATCTCAGTTGCTGCCGTATACATATATATATATAGTCCAATACATGTACGTACCATACATACTGCCATACGATGGGAATCCACGTGACTATCTTTCAGCCAATCACATCATGAATAAACTGACTTGACTCACTAGGCCATGGATTTTTTAAGAAGCTAGTTAGCCATCGCGCGCTTCGTGCGCTCTAATTTACGGTTAAAATTTACCCACCCACCCAACAAACGCATATCCAACATACCTAACTGACAGTCAAAAATATCACGTGATTACACTCATCCAATTACATCGCGAATAAAATGCATTCACTCATCAATCATCTCCTTTTATAAGTAGGATAAGTAGGATTAGCACTATATCTATGGTATACGAGTACTCTGAAGTTTGACCAAAGAGCTTATTCTGATACAATATGCACACTGTAACTGATGCTCACGTGAGCATCTCTTAACCAAGCAATATGCACATTGCACACACACACACTATCAAACGTGTGTTACATACATACCAGTAGTTCACGTGATCATTTCCCAACCAATCAGATCAAGAATAAGCTGCAGCCACCCGATAGTCCATCATTTTTTTAGGAAGGACTGGTGTCATCAACCATGCTTCGCGCGCCCTTCTCTTGTTGATGTTTAGTAAAATTGAGTTTTATACTTGAATAAAAAATTATTACAGGCAAAATAAACAAATTCTATAGTACTTCACATCTACACAAAATAATTTAATGCTTTAAACCGCTTACCATACCTCCATGAAGGAATGTAGGCGTTATTTTGTTCTCAATGTCTACAAATTATTATACTTATTTGAATTTTGTTAACTGATTGCGTATAAATGATGCGAAATGCCTCAGTCTATTATGTAGTGCCGATTTACGAGGTCTGTCCGGAAAGTATCGGACCTACATTTATATTTTCGTGCTAGCATTATTCTTTATCATCTGGTAGGTGGCATCCTTCAAAGTAATCCCCACTTGATTGGATAACACGGTTTCATCGATGTTTCCACTTTTCAAAACAGTCCTGGAACTCACTTTTAGGGATAGTCTTAAGTACACTCGCCGCTTTGTTTTCAACCGTTGTTTTGTCATCGAATCGGTGTCCTTTGAGTAGTTTTTTTAG